GGCGGGCACCTGTAGTCCCAGCTACTTGGGAGGCTGAGGCAAGAGAATCGCTTAAGCCCAAGAGTTGGAGGTTGCTGGGAGCTGTGACGCCATGGCACTCTACCCAGGGCGACATAATGAGACTCTGTCTCAAAAAAAAAAAAAAAGGAATAGCAGTCTGGGACAAAGGTCATCTGACTTGAGTCAGGGAGACCAGTACTCAGGGCCTGGCTCCACCATCATGTAATGTCAGTCATTTAATAGATTTCTCTGTACTTCAGCTGACTCACCTGTGAAAGGAGGCCAAGGAGAACACTACCCACCTCACAGGGGTTTTGTGAAGAATGAATGATATAATGCATGTGAAAACAGACAGCATATTGTGTGCTAAAATAAACCAGCTATTGTCATTAATGCTGATGCTCATAACCTGCCCTCAGGAAACCCCACAAGCCTCACTCTCAGTTGTCTTAGATGAGAAAAACTGTATTTTTCAAGTATACATCTCACTTCACCTCTGACAGTGTGCCTTGTCTTTTTCTGTAGCTTCCTCCATACTTCCCAGATGTTGAGCGACCACTTCCCTGTAATCTCCCTTCCTAATGAAGGAGCTAAGGAAATTTTACCCCAAAATATGACTCCTTGGTTTAAAGAATATTTTGAAGTAAAGGCCATTCACGATCAGGAAGCATTGGGAGAGGCCTTTCCTCTATCTATACAAAACCCAACTAACTTGATCGGGGATCAAAAGGGCTGCCGACTTCCTTTCAGGAATGCAGGCAGACCCGGCCCCAAACCAGTTAAAACACAATACCTGTCTCTCAGGTTAATTTACAAGTCAATCTATCTCCCTCCGTCCACACATCCTCCCTAGCAACTACTTGCTGAGCCTATACGTACCGCGTTCTACCCCCTCCCTTCCAAAAGGCATCTATAAAGTTCTAAAGCCACACTACACTAACACCAAGCAAAATCCATAAATGAGTAAGAGAGTAGAAAACAAAATAAAATAAGATGACCTGGAGAATATCCTGCTGCCCGTGGGTAATGGCCCTCACTCTACATACGCCAAAATCTGTACTAAAGACTTTCTGTCTGTTATCACATGTAATCTTCATGATAACCCTAAGAAGTAATATTGTACCCATTCTACAGTTGAGGAAAACTTAGGCAATGGAAGGTTAAGTGTCTTGTTCACAATCATACCAGCCCCTGCTGTCCAGATTTCTCAAATCATACTAGGGTCTGAGTCCAAAGTAGAGGCTCTTTTCCTAACTATCCTCAGCTAAAGAATGTCCACAAAACTTCTGTCTCCAACCTCAAACTTCTCCCTTGACTTGCACATCCAACTGGTGACTTCCCAACTTGATTTAGTTTGTAATAGGTATAATAATGCAAAAATCCAAAAGAAAACTATGGGTTTTCCTCACCAAATGTCCTCTTCCTATCAGTATCCTATTTCTACTCAGTAAATTGGATTATCATTTTACAGTAGCTCAAGCCAAAAATCAAATCTCTCTCTCATTCTCACACCACTTCTAATCAATCCCCACTCAAATCCAGTTCTACCTCTGAAATATATCCAGAAGCCAACAATGTCCAGCTGTACCTATTCCTACAGCCATAACCTAAATTAAGGTACCATGCTCTTTCCTCCTTGGACTACAGCAATAGCAGACTGCAAAGATATACACTCCATCAGGAATGAGTATTTGTTTGTTCCCACAGCCTCAAACACTGCCCCACACAAAAGAGGCAGTTCAAAAATATTCACTGAATGACCAGCTCAGCCTGCTGTCCCCCTCCCCTCTAGCCCCTGATACAGTCCAGCACCTCCAAGTGATCTTCTAAGCGCAATTAAAGCACAGCTCACCCTCCTCACAATCACAGCCTCTCACAGCAACCAGAATAAAACCCACATATTTTTTCCAATTTTAATATCAGGTGTATCCAGATGAAGTAGAATGATTTTGAAGTATTTCTTCTTTTTCTATTGCCTATAAGATTTGGTATGATCTGTTTTTTGAAATTATTTTTTTATTTTTATTTATAAATATTAATTGTCTATTATTTGAGACTTTGGAAAAAAAATAAGAGTTAACTGATGACTCTATACTGCACCTTGGAGTCAAAACATTCTATAATAGACATACTCTTATTTGACAGCGTGAATGTTACTTTTTTTGCATTATTATTAATGCTCAATATTTTGTTGCAGAAATCATCTGATTTCTTTTCTGAATGTATTTATCTTCATTCTTTTTTTTTTTTTTGAGACAGAGCCTCAAGCTGTCCCCCTGGGTAGAGTGCTATGGCTTCACTGCTCACAGCAACCTCCAACTCCTGGGCTCAAGCGAGTCTCCTGCCTCCGCCTTCCAAGTAGCTGGGACCACAGGCGCCCGCCACAACGCCCAGCTATTTTTTGGTTGCAGCCATTATTGTTGTTTGGCGGGTCTGGGCTGGATTTGAACCCACCACCTTAGGTGTATGTGGCCGGCACCTAAGCCGCTTGAGCCACAGGCACCGAGCCTCTTCATTCATTTTTTACAAGGTTTTTATTTCTAGTCCTTACCTTAAACATTGTTATTATTATTGTTATTAAATTTTAAGCCTTTTTGATTTTGTGAAGGCAAAAAGTGGAAACCAAATAAACACAAGTATATGTAAAAAAAAATTTAAAAAGAATAAAACCCACAAATGCTAACAGCAGCTGATGGGCTCTGGCCAGATCTGGCCCTGGCAACCTCTCTTAAACTTCATCTGCCTGCTCCAAGACACCCTGGACTCCCTTCTATATCCTGATGCAGGCATGGGTGGCTCTCTTCACTGATCAGCCTGAATTTCAGAGGCATCTTCTCAGAAACTCCCCCAGTAACCCTATCCCAGGCTGCTTACCACACCGTCTCATTACAGTAGCAGTACCAGTACTTATTGTTTCATTGTTCCCATGCTTATCCCAAGATCACACTCCTCCCAAGACAGACCACAGAGAGCAGAGATGTTAGTCTAGCTTAAGACCATATATAGCCAGCTCCTGCAACATGGCAGGTATTCAAACAAACAAAAGAATAAGTAGACAAATCTTCTGATGGTGCTGTAAGGTTTTTTTTTTAAACTTCCTACCTAACAGCTCCAAGCATGTGAAATTATAGTTAGAATTATCACCATCACACTGCTCATCCCCCCGTCTCAGGTAGTCCCGAGAAAGCAGAAGTTAACTTTTCTGTGATGAAAAGCCAGGATGTGGTTCTTTCCAAAGTCATGAGAGGGGAGAGTTTAGAAACAAGTCATTAAATCCTGTCAAAATATCAATATGTAAATAATTCTTTTACAAAACCCATTTGTATACTGCTAACAATTTACAAAGCCCTAAATTACACACTGGAACCACAGAAAGAGCCTGAAGGAGCTTTCAAGGCACCAGAAGGACAAAAGCCCCTAAATATCTGTCATGTAATTACTACATAATAAAAAGTGTTACAGTATATTGAAGAACAATATTCCCAAAATAACTAGTATAAAAAACTTATAGAACTTTCAAAAAACAGATCCAGACTGGGTGCAGTGGCTAACGCTCATAATCCCAACACTTGGGAGGCCTAGGCTGGTCTGAGTTAGAGGGAGACCCTGTCTCTTAAAAAAAAAAAAATAGCCCGGCATTGGGACAGGTGCCTGTAGTCTCAGCTACTTGGGAGGCTGAGACAAAAGGATCACTTGAACCCAAGAGTTTGAGATTGCTATGAGCTAAAATGCCTCGGCAGTCTACCCAGGGTGACCAAGTGAGACACTATCTAAAAAAAAAATATGTCCACCTTGATCTCAGATTACCGGTAAGATAACCATATTCTCTCTCTACCTGACTCAAGGGAAAAAAATCATTTCAACCTCAAATCAAAAGCCTCAATTTTCTCATCTCCAAAAAGGCCAACTTGAATGCATGCAAGCACAGCATCAGACCTCAAAAATCAAGATAATTCCACACAGCCACTCCAAAGACGACGAATTATCTGCCAGTACAATCGCTGGTTACAGAAACCAACAGTTTCTGCCACTGTCCTTAGGCAAAAGGAAAGCAACACCACCCTGAACCTCAATGCTCCCCAGAGTCAGATTAATTTAATTTAATTAATTTGTGAAATACTAATCATCAACTTGTACAAGAAAGGAGCTTGACATCCAGAAGACTTTACCTACTTTGTTTTTTTCTAATTCTACAGGAAGGAGTGAAAGTAGCATTAAAAAACCAAACCCTAACTATTCTATACTGATGCACTAAATGGTAGGAGACATACACATGCTTTAAGACACCAAAGGTTTTACATGAGATAGTTACAAAACAGGTCCGAGCAAGTTCAGTTGCAGAGAGACAGGAAGCCTCACGCCCTACCCAGTCAGTGCTGCTTGTTCCAAGCCAGGGCTGGGTCGAGAAACTCTGGAAGCAGGAATGAGTTTTCCCTTCGTCCAGACCCGTGCCCAGTAGTTTGGAAATCAGGCTTCGAGACATTCTCAAAGGTATGGCGCCCATGCTCCAGACTTCGAGACGTCCAGCACAACCTGCCTGATTTGTCTGACCTGCGTGTCGTTCTCGGTATGGGAAAGAAGACGTTGCCCAAACCCACGATTTTTCCCGGGTTCACCCGTCAAGCAGAGCCGGGAGAGCTGCTCAGCAGTGCCCTGAGCGGGAGGCGACACGCTCCTGGCGCGGTCGGGATCCTTCGCCCGTGCCCTGCACGCCCCGCCCCACGCGGAGTCCCAGAGGCCGGACGGGAAGACCCCGGGGTGGCCTCTCCGGCTTCCCCCCCATGCTTCCCGCTCGCCAGCCGCACGGGATTTCCAGGTCCCAGGCGCTCTCCCGGCGCGGGGTCAGCCTGGGCGACACACCCCGAAGCCCTGCTTCGGCCACGGAGCTGGAAGCGCACCCAGGAAAGTCCGCAGCACCGGGAATCCTGGCCCCGTCCAACGGGAGTCCTGGCCCCGTCCTCAGAACCGACTAGCCCCGCACGGCGCCCGGCCTGGCTCACCTGACCAGCACAGCACCGAGCAGACATCGCGGCGGCCGACGCCTACGGGAGGGCCCGCTGGCGCCGCTGCGAACAGTGGGCTCGCGAGCGCCCCGAGCGCCCCTCCGCGCCGCGGCTCACGCCCCCGCTGAGCAGCCCCAGCCGAGTGCCTAGGCACCGCGGCCCGGGGAAAACAAGCGCCAAGCCCCGCCCCGTCGCCCCGGCCCCGCCTCGCCCGGCCCCAGCCACGCCCCGGCCACGCCCCTTCCCGCGAACCCGGCGGCGAAACAGGCTCGCTCCGGGCTCGCACTTCCGCTGGCGTCAGGCAGCTGGGCAGCTGCGGTCACTTCCCGATGGGACGCCGGGCTCCGATGTGAGCCTGCGGGCTCTCCGGCCCGACTCTCCCGGGCCAGTCCCTCGCCAAGGAGGGCGCAGCGCCCATCCGTCTTTGAGTCCTGAGAAAAGGCTGTTTGCTGACTCCAATAAAGCTTAGACTCGAGCCTTTACTGAGCGGTTCCCGAGTGGCCCGCGCTGATTCGGCGCAGTGGGCGCTACCGAATGCTGGGCTGCTCGCTGCCTCCGCCACCTGGGACATCCAGTCTGCGAGATCCCAGTTCCGAAATCCCCTTATCTGCCAAGAAAAATTTCAACTTTTGCACTTTTCCCTTTGCCCAAGCTTCCTCGAAACCCTGCTCTGATGTTCCCACGGCACTTCAGGAGATTTAGGAGATCCGTGGAGAGCTCTTTCCGTGCTCCCATAAATACAGATAGATTTTCCATGCTGTCCCCGCGGGCCCAAGAGCGCTTCTAGCCCAGGAACTCATTTTCCGTCCCGGTCTCACCGGACCTCACTAAAAAGAGGGTCCCCAAAAACTGCTTGTTTCATGCAGAAGACAGGAGGTTTCTCCCACCCAGATTTGCTCTCACAGCCACCTCCCAGGAACAACGGAGCGGCCAGGCCCCTTATGCTTTCAAATAAACATTACCACACCTGTTCGTGGAAACTAGTTCTCGGGTCAAAAGCGAGGCAGCATCTTCCAGCATCCTGGATCCGGGCATTTAGAGAAGAGAACTAAAGGAGCAGGCCCTACTCAGAGCCACGGAAAGTAATGAGAGTTGGCTCTAACTCAAAACAAAAATGACATAAACCGAATCAAGCAACCACAGCAACCTGCTCTGTGACTCATCCGAAGCTGAGGATCTCACCGGTCTTTCTAGTGAGCTTCCCTGTTTGCTGGACAGACAACTTCTCTTCAGCCCTGAACTTGGTCTGGAAAAACCGATTGGCCCCCTAGGGCGATTCTGCGCCTCTGGGAAGATCCTAGCAGCTTGAGGGAGTGGAGGAGAGAGGCAGAAAGAGAAGGTACAGAAATACAGGAATGCATAAACCGGCTGAGACTCTGAGGCCTCCTCACCTTTGTTTGTTTGTTTTTTTTTGAGACAGAGCCTCAAGCTGTTCCCCTGAGTAGAGTGCTGTGGCATTACAGCTCACAGCAACCTCCAACTCCTGGGCTCAAGCGAGTCTCCTGCCTCCACCTCCCAAGTAACTGGGACCACAGGCATTCCCCACAACGCCTGGCTATTTTTTGGTTGCAGCCGTCATTGTTGTTTGGCGGGCCCAGGCTGGATTCAAACCCGCCACCTTAGGTTTATGTGGCAGGCGCCTTAGCCACTTGAGCCATAGGCGCCGAGCCCTCACCTTTGTTTTTAAGAAACAGAGTCTCACTTTATCGCCCTTGGTAGAGTGCCAGTGGTGCCACAACTCAAAACAACCTCCAACTCCTAGGCTTAGGCGATTCTCTTGCCTCAAACTCTGGAGTAACTGGAACTACAGGTGCCTGCCACAACGCCCGGCTATTTTTTTGTGGCAGTTTGACCCACCACCCTCGGTATATGCGGCCGGCACCCTATCCACTGAACCACAGGCGCCGCCCAAGGCCTCCTCACCTTTTAGGAAAACTGGATACAGGGAAGGCAGGGACGCTCACTAGAGGCCCTTGGGTTAGATCATAACTGGTACTAGGATCCAGGCCTCCTAACCCTGAATCCTCTGTTTTCTTTTGCTGACAAAAGAAAGGGTACGTTACCACAGAATATGACTGTAGGAGACCAAAATATGCTGCCCCAAAATACACTTCTTGGGCATATTTCAAGCTGATTATTCTGAGAAACTGCAGACACAGGAGTAGCTCTGAAAAGCTGTCTTTTTGTAAAAAGAAATTTACATATATAAAGGAAGTCTACTTGATAAAAGTATCTGAATTGAGAAGAGGGCTGCTCAGAGACAACTCTTTTGGTCGGAGACTTTATCTGCATAACAAGACAACATTTACTCACCTTCTATTTCATCCCCTCACCCTTCCATAACCTGTATTGCCCCCTCTATCTAAGCCCAGAGCTTCTCTTTCTTTCCTTAGCTCAGGAAGATATATAAGCTTCAATCATCTGGGCCTTCTTCAAGTCTCCTGTTTTGTGGGGCTCCTTTGCATGTGCATATAGGAAAATTATTTTCCTCTTGTTAATCTTTCCTATGTCAATTTAATTTGTAGCCCAGCCAAAGAACCCCAAAGAGTAGAGGGAAGCCATTTTTCCCTCCCCTACATGGCCAATTCTAGGCCACTGTGGGAGGAATCTGTAAGTGGATGTCAACCTCCAGGAGAGACACAAGCCTTAACAATCTGGGGACTTGTATCTCAAGGTACCAGAAAAGAATAATGAAAGCCCAGGTTTCCATAGCCAGAAAGCGGCAAATGCTAACTCTACCAAGAATTGGCTGGCCTTGGTTTTCTCCTCTGCAAACCCAGACCAACGGTACATTTTCCAAGGATTAGAAAAAAAATCACCCCTACAGACCATGCAGTCAGGACCTGGTCTCCTTCTAAGGCACTAACTGGTAGTCCTGACAGATATTAATAAATCTGTTTAAATGATGTTCAGAAATAATCTCTGACTTTCTTTTCTAGTCCCAGATACTTTGGGAGCTCCAGGCTCCCAGGTGCAGACTTGACCAAGTCTGATAACCACACCACAGTCAACCAGTTCAGAAAATGGCTGGCACAGAAATGGCATGGAGTAAACCTGATGGGGCGGCACCGGTGGCTCAAAGGAGTAGGACGCCGGCCCCACATACTGGAGGTGGCGAGTTCAAACCAGGCCCCCCTCCAAAAACTGCAAAAAAAAAAAAAAAGAAAACCTGATCACAATAAATAAACCTGATCACAGGCTCAGTGCCTGTAACTCAGCAGCTAGGGCGCTGGCTACATACACTGGGGCTGGCAGGTTCAAACCTGGCCCTGGCCTGGCAAAACAACGATGACAATTACAACAACAACAAAAATAGCTGGGTGTTGTGGCTGGCAGGCACCTATAGTCCCAGCTACTAGAGAGGCTAAGGCAAGAGAATCACTGTAGCCCAAGAGTTTGAGGTTGCTGTGAGCTGTGACGCCACACCCAGGGCGACATAGTACAACTGTCTCCAAAAAAAAAAAGAAAAGAAAACCTGATTACAAAGATATGAATCTCTAAAGGGGGGTAGATCCCAAGTTCCTAAGGAAAGTATGCTTTGCCAAGAAATACAAAGAGCCTGAGGGAGAAGCAGGCCAACAGTGCCTAAGCTTTCTATGTGCTTGCCCTGGCTGTCCAGTTCCTCATAAAGTTGAAAGAGTTTGTTGGGGCTCAGAAAATTATACCTCAAAATGAAGACCTCAGAAGCAAAGGCTTCTCTCTGCTCTCCTGCCCTCTTGCCCACCTGTCTCCGGTCCTTCATTCTCCCCAGAGACTGGGCATAAAAACTAGAATTCCTCTTCCCTAAGGTGAAGAAAAGAGAACACTTTTTCCCCAAAGCCAGCTTTGCAGAGGATTGAGCATCATGTTTACAGTAACATGTAAAGGATTGAACATCCTACTTACTATAACAGTAACAATCTCAAAACTCATCTGAGGAATAGCTGAGAATAAGATATTCTCCTGGCAAGCCTGGAAATCTCTTATCACTTAGAGGCAAACCACCAAGTAACTCAGTAATCCCAGAGGAGCAAAGATGGGTCCTGCAGTAGTAAGACTGATGTTAAATATCAAGCATTTTACAGCAGTTCCTTGAAGGATTAGTGGGAGAAAATTGCATGTAGTCTTTTTGGAAATCATTTCCTTGAGGACATAACTTTTTGCCACCTTTTGTTCACCCATATGAGTTAATTTTCTTGAGCACGTAGCCCCTAAAGCACATGGTCCCTGAACACACAGCCCCTGGAAGTCTTTGCTTAGTAATCTTTCGGCCCTTTATGTATCTTCTCAATAAAAGGACTCTGTGAGAAGTGCTCCTACACCTATGGTTAGCCTCACCTCTTGCAGCTTGTACTGTAAATCCGTGTCTCCCATGATCATTTATGCTGTCATGACACAGCTTAAAACCTAAAACAATTTGGCTCAGCGCCTGTGGCTCAAGTGGCTAAGGTGCCAGCCACATACACCTAAGGTGGCAGGTTCGAATCCAGCCCAGGCCCACCAAACAACAATGATGGCTGCAACCAAAAAATAGCCGGGCATTATGGCGGGCACCTGTGGTCCCAGCTACTTGGGAGGCAGAGGCAGAAGACTCGCTTGAGCCCAGGAGTTGGAGGTTGCTGTGAGCTGAGATGCCACGGCACTCTACCCAGGGGGACAGCTTGAGGCTCCTGTCTCAAAAAAAAAAAAAAAACTAAAAAAATTCTTGTTTTTTTCAGCTTTTGGCTGGGGCTGGGTTTGAACCCGCCACCTCCGGTATATGAGGCTGTCGTCCTACTCCTTAGAGCCACAGGCACCACCTCTAAAAAATATTATTCTAACCTTCCTCTTGCCTTTCTTTGTAAAAACTTGCCATACACGCTCGGTGCCTGTGGCTCAAGTGGCTAAGGTGCCAGCCACATACACCTAAGGTGGCAGGTTCGAATCCAGCCCAGGCCCACCAAACAACAATGATGGCTGCAACCAAAAAATAGCCGGGCATTATGGCGGGCACCTGTGGTCCCAGCTACTTGGAAGGCCAAGGCTGGAGACTCTCTTGAGCCCAGGAGTTGGAGGTTGCTGTGAGCTATGATGCCACAGCTCTCTACCCAGGGGGACAGCCTGAGGCTCTGTCTCAAAAAAAAAAAAAAAAAACACTTGTCATACAGAAAATTATCTG